CATTAATACTCTTTTATTTAAAAAGAGGAGAAACAGAGAAACCAAACCAAACCAAACAAGCTCGATTTCCCAAAAACCCTCAGCCAGCAAATGGTAGCCAGAACAAAGGAAACAAAACCAACCCAACCCAAAAACCAAAATGCTTCCAGTCCCACCTTAGTCCATAACGTACACTTGGTGGTGCCCAGAAAATGAAGATCTGGCCTACAGATCTTCCCAAATGAGCAAGGACAAGGGACCTCTGTGTGCACACTGGGGGCATTATCTAGTCTGGCCAGGGCATCGTGACTCACGAAACAAGTGAGTTTTCCTTTTGCCCAAAGTCATTTCCCTGGTAACTAGCGGTTAGAATGGCTGCACACAGGAGGGAGCCAGAGGGAAGGCTTGCAAAGTGAAAGAAGGGTTTTTTTTTTTTTTTTCCTAACATAGCTTTTTTTTTGTTCTTTCATTTATTTGTTTATTTTCGGATGTACATCATAACATATTTCAAATTCTGTGTAGATTACATCATGTTCACCACCCGAAAACTAATTATAGTCCATCTCCTCACATGTGAGCCTAATCACTCCTTTTGCCCTCCCTCCTTCCCCCTTCCCCTCTGGTAATCACCAATCCAATCTCCAATGCTACGTGTTTGTTTATCGTTGTTTTTATCTTCTACTCATGAGTGAGATCATATGGTATTTGACTTTCTCCCTCTGACTTATTTCACTCAGCATAATACCCTCAAGGTCCATCTATGTTGTCACAAATGGCCAGATTTTATCATTTCTTATGGCTGAGTAGTAGTCCATTGTGTATAAATACCACATCTTCTTTATCCAGTGGTCCCTTGATGGGCACCTAGGTTGCTTCCAAGTCTTGGCTATTGTGTATAATGCTGCAGTGAACATAGGGGTGCAGGTATCTTTATGCCTTTGTGTTTTCAAGTTCTTTGGATAAATAACCAGCAGCAGGATAGATGAATCATATGGTAGATCTATCCTTAATTTTCTGAGGATACTCCATACTGCTTTCCATAGTGGTTGCACCAGTTTGACTCCCACCACCAGTGAACATGGGTTCCCTTCTCTCCACATCCTCTCCAACATTTGTTGTTTTCTGTCTTGTTAATTATAGCCATTCTGACTGGAGTGAGGTGATACCTCATTGTAGTTTTGATTTGCATTTCCCTGATAGCTAATGATGTTGGGCATCTTTTCATATGCCTGTTGGCCATCTGTATATCTTCTTTGCAGAAATCTCTGTTCTGATCTTTTGCCCATTTTCTAACTGGATTGTTGGTTTTTTTTGTTGTTGAGCTGTATGAGTTCTCTGTATATTTTGGATATTAACCCCTTATCTGATATGTGGTTTGCAAATATCTTCTCCCAGTTGTTAGGTTGTCTTTTCGTTTTGTTGATGGTTTCCTTTGCTGTGCAGAAGCTTTTTAGTTTGATGTAGTCCCATTTGCTCATTTTTTCTTTTGTTTCCCTTGCCCGGTCAGACATGGGACTTGAAAATATGCTGCTCAGACTGATGTCAAAGAGCGTACTGCCTATGTTTTCTTCTAGAAGTTGCATGGTTTCCGGTCTTACACTCAAGTCTTTAATCCATTTTGAGTTGATTTTTGTGCATGGTGTAAGGGAGTGGTCTACTTTCATTCTTTTGCATGTGGCTGTCCAGTTTTCCCAACACCATTTATTGAAGAGACTCTCTTTTCTCCATCGTATGCTCTTGGCTCCCTTGTTGAATATTAGCTGTCCATAAATGTGTGGGTTTACTTCTGGGCTCTCGATTCTGTTGCATTCATCTGCATGTCTGTTTTTGTGCCAGTACCATGCTGTTTCGGTTACTATGGCTTTGTAGTATATTTTGAAATCAGGGAGTGTGATATCTCCAGCTTTGTTCTTTTTTCTCAGGAATCCTTGGGCTAATCAGGGTCTTTTGTTGTTCCATACAAATTTTAGGATTCTTTGTTCTATTTCTGTGAAAAATGTTGTTGGAACTTTGATAGGGATTGCGTTGAATCTATAGATTGCTTTAGGAAGTATGGACATTTTAACGACGCTAATTCTTCCAACCCAAGAGCATGGAATATCTTTCCATTTCTTTCTGTCTTCTTTGATTTCTTTCAACAATGGTTTACAGTTTTCAGTATACAGATCATGAAAGGAGCTTTGGCAGCTGCTGGAGCAGCCCCTCTGCCTGTCCCAGGTGCTCCATGAAGTCCAGCCAAGGGAGGAAACCTAGATTTGAATTGGTGTGAAGCCCCGCCAACTAAGCATCGGTCCTTGGCCATCTGGCATCCCTGAGTCTTTCTCCAACCCTCCACTTTCCCAATTGGTACAGGCGTGGTGTATGACTTGGGAGTGTCTGATCAAGCCCAGGGGGTCTTAGTGAGGACCACCCATAGATCCCATCTGGGATGCCAAGTTGTTACCAGAAGTTCAGTCTCTGAACCCGGTGCCAATCCAAATAACGATAACAGAGTATTGAATGGAAAGGAAAGGCTTTACTTTCTTGGCCAGGAAGAGGGAGCAAAGCAACAGCTAGTGCCTTAAGAATAGCTTGCTCCCCATTAGGAAGTGGGTAGAGGTTGTTAAAGGTTGGGAATGTGTCTGCTTGTACAGAGGGGGCACATAGCCTTGTTGGCTGGTGTTTGTTGGCTGGCGTTTTCCCAGCTGTCCACATTTGGCCTTGTGAGGCTATTTGCCGGGTGAGATGAGATAATCCACAGATGGATGTCCTTGGCTGTTTGTCTCCATGGTGGATTCTGGTACCAGGAAGCCGAGAAGTTGGGCCTGAGAAGAAGCTTTGGTTTCTTGATATTCTCTGGACATTTGGTTCCCTGTAATAGACTTCAAGGACCTGTGATTATTTACAAGTTTAATGGGAGCCCAGCATGAGGCCATCTGGGCTTTTAACAATGTGTAACTTCCATTTGGTTGTAAAGCTCATGGAGTCAGAGGTTAAAAAAATAAATATTTACATATGAGTGTAACTTAAGCAGGGAACAGGGATGTGTGCTTTTGGTTTTGACCTCATATATGCTAGCTTCAACATAGGGGAACACATGTGAGGGCTGGTATTAATTAAGAGCCTGTAACATACATAGATCTCCTTGCTTTCTCAAGAGAAACTCAAGAGAGAGAATTAGAGAATTAGGTCCTGTGATTAGACTCTCGGTGTGGGCAGGGTGCCTTGCTGTGGGCTTCCCAGTGAGCCCCCAAGTGGGAAGGAATGTTTTATGAAGCTCTTACTGTGTGCCAAGCCGTTGACTGCAATGTTGTATTAAATGGCTACATAATCCCCATTTGCTAAAAGTGTTCAGAGTTTGATGATTTTGTCCAAGGTCACAGAAAATAAGTGGCATACAGAATTAGGTATTATTTTTAAGGTCCTAAGGAAAAAAGCATCCCTGTAACTTCAAATATATATATTTCCAAACAGTTGAGAAGCTATCATGTTAATCTAGATATTGCTGTCTTACGGTGTCGGTTTGCAAAAAAAAAATAAAAAGGAGCAAATAAACTGCCCTGTTGAAGGGAGAAAACTGTAAACTTTAGTTTTATTTTACTTTATTTTTAATTTTTGCTGAGGAATAGTCACCCTGAGCTAACATCAAAGCAAATGTTTCTCTATTTTTTAGTATGTGGGCCACCAGCACAGCTTGGCTGCTAATAGAGGAGTGTAGGTCCCCATCCAGGAGTCAGGCCCGGGGCCGCGGAAGTGGAGCTAGCTGAACTTAACCACTAGGGCACCAGGCCTGGCCCAAACTTCACTTTTACAATAAGAGCCCTACTGTTGCTTTCAGGAGACATCCCTTTTCAATTCTGTCAACCTGAAAATCACTAGTGAAGAATGAAGAATAATCATGAGAGCACAGCCGTCTTTACAACATGTGGCGCTTCTGTGAAGGGAGGGCATGTGGGGGAGGGTCACTGGGGCCACTGGGAGGCAGGCTCAGTGTTGGGCAGGAAGAAGCTCATCACAGCCCTGGGTGGTGTTAGGTCCCAGTGACAGGGACTCAAGATGGAAGACACTTTGCACTTTTATTGTGTTTTAACATTTTCACCTGGATCAGGACACTGGATCTTCACAGCAATCCTATGCCCATTGTCCTCATTTTACAGGTGGAGAAACTGAGACACAGTAAGATGTGGTTTTGCTCAGGGTCACACAGTAAGGTGGCAGAGCCAGGATTTTTCGTTTCCAGATGTTTGTCCTGAAAGCTTTCAAACAGAAAAGCTGAAAGACTAGTATAGTAAACACCTATGTGTCTAACAGACTAGGTTGAATAATTATGAATATTTTACGATGTTTTTGTGTTCATCTTCTGTATGTTTTGCTGAAACATGTTCATGTTGCAGACCTCATGACACTTCCTTCCTGCATAAATTATGCATTCATATTGAAGAGATTTGACAATAGTTCTCTCATATCCATGGACACCCAATTCATATTCAATTTCCCCCACTGTCTCCGATTCTCTTATGGATGGGTCTTAAGTGCCCACTCATACTTCACTCTTTGCAATTGTGTTTTTCTAATGAGTTTGGTGTTATAGTCACCACACCAGATATCCTTCCTTCATGGTGTTCTCCATGTTGTACTAGAGGCTGGTAAACTAAAGCCCGCAGGCCAAACCCTGCCAACTCATTGGCTTATGTATTGTCTATGGCTCCTTTCATGCTACCTCAGCAGATCTGAGTAGTTCCAACAAAGATCGTGTGGCCTGCAAAGCTGAAACTATGTACTTACTTACTGTTTCTATGTTTGTTGACCCCTGGGTTATACTGTCCTTCCTTGACCTAACATTTAGGTCTATTCAATTTCTGAGCTGGTCGGCATGTAAATAATCTGCAAAATGGAAATTTATAAAGATTCAAATTTATAAATATTCATCTAATGATTTTCACTCATTGTCGTTGATTCTACATTTTCTCCCCTATATCACAGAAGAAGTTACAAAACACTTCACAGAATTTATAGCCAAGTTAAATAGAGTACGTGATAGGGATATTTTGATTCCTCCTCTTTATTTGGGACATGGATAATTTCACAGTGAAAATGCCTTTTTGGTAAAATCAAGGCACGTAATACACTGAGGCCCGCAGAAGCTGTGAGTTGAGCTCACCATTGTTTGACTTTCTTCTCCACTACAAACTCCCCATGAGGCCCCTCAGCATCCGATGGCAAAAGAGCCAAGTATACCGGGGTCTCTGCTCCTTCTTCTGGGCTTTTTGGGGCACGTGGACCAGACATGTCAGTTCTCACCCACCCTGGGCAGCAGGCATTCAGAAGGATCTTGTCCCCTCTCCTCTGCTCACTCAGCTTCCTGGCATGGATTCTGGACAGGACTGTGACGCCGATTTTCGTCACTCCGTATGCGGTATTAGGCCAGCCCTCCTTCTGGTGCACTCCATTCTTTGTATCTTCCACGAACTTGTTCATGAGCCCCACCAGCTCCTCTTCTGTGATGGTCTCACTTCTAAACTTCTCCTGCAGTTTTGGGCTGCAGTTGTGAAGGGCACTGAGACTCACAGTGCTAGACACATTCACCACTCTGCCTAAAATCCAACAGAAATCGTTATGTAGAAAAGGATGCACAAGAATGATGAATACCAACTTCGCTGGGATTTTGGACCAGAAAACTTCCATTTGCAAGACAATTACCAGTTTGCCCTGAGCATTAATTAAGACTGCCTCCATGAGTGAAGGACATGATACAATCTTGAACTTATTTTACCCAGAATGTCTAAGATGATGTCAGAGAAATTTTCTAATGGAGAGGGTAGCACCCAGAAGTTCCATAAGAAAATGACAATGGTTTACATAGGAACATGCTAGGAGGAATGTAAGGAGGCACTCATCATACCAAAGGCTGCCTTTGGGACCACTGGAGGATGAATGTCACTTGACAATGCTCTATGACCATGTCTCTCTGGACCAACAAAGAGCTGAAAGGTTGATGGATGGCAGATCCTAGGTGAATGGACAGCATCTGCTTTGAAAGGCTGCCACTCTGATCGAGGAAGGGAACAACAAATCAGCTCAGGGGTCTGAACTGCATGGGGTTTTCTCTCTGTTTGGATTCTTATCAACTCAGGAGCAGTAACTAATGTCCAACAATATGCTGACAGACAGGGGCCGTGGGAAACTGAACAACAGAAGGGATGTGCATATAGGGCAGAGCCCTATGGAAGTCCCTACAGGAATTAGAGGTAAGTTAAAGTAGGACATGTCAGTGAATGTCCATCAGAAGAACCACTTCCAGGTCTGGCAGGCTAGTGGAACCAGCAAGTGGGCATCCTGGTATGCTTCTTTGAAGTGGCCAGCTTGGTCCATGAGATAGGTGGGCATGGGGAGCTGCAGCCTTGCAGCAATGGGATAATTGTTGACGTGACTCTTACACCCTGTGAAGCACAGAATGCAAAGGACATTCTCTGGCAGCAAGAGAGACAATGACTGCAGGTGGTTATGCGAAAGATTCCCCAAGGGGAAGGCCCTGCACACAGCTGCTAAGTAGAATTAGGTAGTACTCCTGGGAGGCTACAAATGGGTCCTCACGAAAGGAGACATTATTTCTGGACCAGGCTTTGCGTACCCGACATAGATGTCAATGTTCAAGCAGTACAGCAGGAGTGGAACAGAAGATACCACACCATTTGGGCTGGTAAGTTACACTTCTGCAGACCAAGCAACGCACTTTTATCCCTGGAGTAGTAGCTTTGATAGAGAATTGGAATGGGCAGTTGAAATGGTGGTTGTCTCAAACATGAGGAGAGAAAGGTATGAAGAGCTGGCTTACACACATTCGTGAGCATGTGCTCACACCCAACATGAGGGGGCCAAGGGAGATGCCCCACACGATAGATTCTTTTCTTCTGCTGGGGGATCTTGGGATGAAGGGCTGGGGGAGGATGCTGGGGTGACTATATGATTCTACTCCACATCACCTCCACTTTCTTTTTTCCTACCTGATACGGTACTCCTGACACCAGGGCTACAACTGCAGATATGGGAAGCAGGAATAATTCCTCAGCAAGAACCCGTAACTACAGGTTTAAACCTTCATGTCAGAAGTCCCAAGGGCCTGATGGAGTAGAATGTGCCTTCGCCAATATGGCAAAAGTGGAGTGACAGCAAATGCAGCTGTATTGCCTAGTGGCCGAGACAGCCCACGAGGTCTGGACCTATGGAACCCAACCCTACCTGATATGAATGGGAGTGGACTGAAGGGAAGGCACATGTTAGACTAGCTACCTTCGCTGCAGGCGATCAGGATCAGCACAGTGGCTGAACTTGACAGCTCTTTGAAAGGTGAAAAACTTTGGGTAAAAGTCAATGATAAGGAAGAAAAGGAAGCAAGGTGGCCTAGGCTAAAGGAATGAATAAATGGGTTATGCAACAAGAGAAATCCCATATTACATTGGTGTCTCGAGAGGCTCAGAGCAAGAGACGGTATCGTCCCTTAGCTCCATCATACCAGATGCCGGAAAATGTGAAGCCACATGTTGCTAAGACCATTCCTGCTTTCGGGACATGACAAGGTCGAGGAGAAGCCTGAGAACCTGAGTGGCCTCGGCTCTGCGAGCCAGGGTCATGTGATATGGTGATGAACTGAACCAATGTTAACGACTGAGTGGGACTCTAGCAATGTGCCAGCATCTCTCGATTCTTATCTCTCAGGTTCCATGTACCACCATACTGTGATATGGTGTAACAGTGCCCTCGTTGGTAATATTCAACTAGCACACATAATGAAGAACTGAATTTAGCTAACCACGAGCTATAATTAACCATCAGTTAAATGAATTAGAGAAGGAGCCCGTTAGACTGAGGTGGCTCTAACGTCATGGTGGCCTATCAAGCAAACCAAAATCTAAGCCTGTAAATGCCTCTAGGTTACAAAAACGAAACCTAAGGACCACCCATCAGCAATGGCCAACTGGTCTGGAAGCTATAGCCAATCAATAATCTCCTTCCTTTGCTCCAGCCTTTTTTCTACAAAAGTGGTGGGGTACTCCTAAGCACTTCCCATTTGTTCCTTCTCCACTCGAATAGATTTTTTCTCAAATAAATGCTTAAATTTTTAATATGCCTTAGTTTATCTCTTAACAATACTAAATGATCTACACAAATACTATGCTAAATAAGGTATAAACAGCAGTTGATCAGTGAAAGAATCAAATTACTATAAACCCACAAACGTGCATGTAGTGGTTTCAGGGGATGGATTATCTGTTCCTTTAAATCTATTCCTACCCCACACTGGCGCCTGCAAATGTCAGGCATATTTCTGACACAACTGCTGTATGTGTTATATAAATGCTCTAGTAAATGTAGATCCTCAATGATCCTTTGCTGGAAGAGAGCCTTGGCAAAGGACCAGGGTGTGGCCTATGAAAGTAAAGGATTAAGCTTGGCCAAAGAAAGATTTGGCCCTGAACCCACGGCTGCTGGAAGGTAATCTTTACACAATTGGAATGTCCTGCCTGATACAGAGTGTCATTGTTTACTCAGGGGGTCTAGGGTCAGGCTACAGAATAGATGCTAACGGGGTAATTATGGTGCTACTTTGGGCTACCTGCTATCAGCTGGACTTCTGGAGATGCTGGCGAGTAAGGTCAGCAGAGAGTGGTGGGCCATGTCTATGTGACAAACCCCAACAAAAATACCAAATACTAGGCAGGATAAGCTTCTCCGGTTGGCAATAGTCCATGTGTATTGTCACATATCACCGCCTGGAGAAAACATGCTGTTTGCAGGACTCCCCTGGGAGAGGAGAACTGGAAGCTCCATGCCTGGTCTTTCCTGGACCCTGGGCTATGAGACTTTTCCCATTGCTGATTTAATTGGTCTCCATTTTTGATAAGACACTATAATTTTGAGTATCATGGGCTCTGTTGAGTTCTGAGTCCTAGTGAATTTCTGAAACTGAGGGTGGTCATCGGGACCTGCTGAACTTGTAAAGACCAAATGATATTTATCTCACATATGTACAGTGGGTTTAGCATCTAAAACCCCATAAATATAATACACTATATAAGACACAGAAAAAGATGTGGGAGGATAACAAATTGAAGGCTGCGAAGGCTCCTCTAGCCTGAATAGGATCACTCAGAGAGGGAGAGGGAGGAGGAAGGAGCCGGGATGGAATCCTCAGGGAATTCCAACGTGTGAGGGGCACAGAGCAGGTAAAGGGCTTCTCTGAGGAGACTTTTGAACAAAGACCTGAAGGATGAGAAAGAGTCAGCTGTGCAATGACCAGTGGGGCAGAGAGCACTGATGACCACTGGACAAGTGTGTGCAGAGCCTGAAGCACAAGGATGCCTGGCCCAGTGGAGACACAACAAGGAGTCAGTGTAGCTGAGCAGGGAGAGGTAGCAGGGGCTTGTAGATGAGAGCAGAGGCAGGCAGGGCAGATCATGCCAGAACCAGCATGGCTTGGGCTCCTCATCGGACTCACCATGGGGTTTTATGAGAGGCAGTAGCTCCGTGCAGACATCTCGGGTACCAAAAAAGTTTGTTTTCATTGTCACTTCTGCTTGAATAGGAAACGGAGTGGGGTCCACAGCTTTCAGAGGAAGAAGGAAGGTAGAGTTAATAAATGGTAGCCATGTGGTAAAAACCCATAGAATTATATTTTTTAAAGCGTCCAAAAGAAATTGGGTGAATTTTGTGTAAAACTGGCAGGTAGTTAACAGTTGTACCAATGACAATTTCCTAGTTTGACAATGTACCAACCGGGTCCACACATGGGATCTCTGTGTACAAGTTTGTGCAATTTTCTTAATTATTTTAAAATGGCTTAAAAAGTCCCCCTATTTCCCTGAAATTCAATCAGAGAAAAACTGCGTGACACCCTGGAAAAGATCCCCAGGCGTCCCAGACAAAGAAATACAAAGGTCCCTCTGGCTGGAAGGCAGTCCAGTTCCAGGTGCACTCTGCTGTAGCCGCACCCCTGTCCCCACCCCTCCTCCTTCCCCAGGCAGCCATCCTGGACTCCAAAGGCAGGGGAGCCCCACCGCAGGGATGCTCCCATGGATCTGGCCACCCAGGCAGAACGCTTCTCCTGCGAGCACCGGGCTCCTTACTCTTGAAGGCGATGCCCGCGTTGTTGACCAGCACGTCGAGGCCCCCGTACTCCTTTTTCAAGAAGTCGCGCAGGGCGCGGATGCTCTGCAGGTCGTTGATGTCCAGCTGGTGGAAGCGAGGGCTCAGGCCCTCCGCCTGCAGCTGCTGCACGGCCGCCTGGCCCCTCGCCGCGTCCCGCGCCGTGAGCACCACGTCCCCTGAGAACTGCCGGCACAGGTCGCGCGCGATGGCGAAGCCGATGCCCTTGTTGGCCCCGGTCACCAGCGCCACACGCCTGCTGGACAACATGGCTGGGTGGGGGACCGCGGGGCGCTGGTGCGGAGAGCGGTTCTGTCTCCCAAGTACAAATGGCTCCGCGCGCCCGCTGCGCGCAGCTTAAGAAGCCTGACGTCTCCGAGGGCGCTGGTTGCGCGCTAGCAGGACGCGCGCCCCCAGCCGCCTGGCTCGGCGCGCAAGCGCAGGCCTCGCCCCCTCATGGCTTGGTCCCTGGGAACCTCATGGGGCGCAGCGACTGCAAAGCAGTAGTACTCGCCACTTTGCGAAACTGGCTCGCAGAAGATTTAAGGCCGATTGCTGTTATAGGCTGCCTGCCTGGCAGAGAGAACCATTCTGATAGGCCGCGTGAGTACATTTCAACTGAAACCGTAGCTCTGGTTCTCCAAGAGTCTTTCTCTTGTGTTCCCCCGACTATTTCAACTCTTCCAGGTTGTGCTTGAAGAAATGGGGCATTTGCAGACTTTTTTTTTTTTTTTTTTCCTGGCGTTTTCAGAAATACCGCGTGAACTGAAATCTTTGGATCTAGAGATGTGGAATAAGGTGGGAAGACGTGACAAGGGGATTTAGTGTGTGTTGATTTCTCCCCTAAGTATGGAAGCAAAGCTCCTGGCTTATCCTTGGCTGATTTTCACCCCGCAGTGGGGAGCGTTTACGAAATCATGACAGGGTTACCTCCCTACACACCTGCAGGGTCATCGACTTGGCTGTATCCAGGTCCTGCACTGTAAACGTGCTCCCGGGTGTTGCAGCCCTTTCTCACACTCAGAATAACTCGTCAGGATGCATCTTATTATCTTCATTTTAATGTGAAGAAGTGGATCCTCAGAAAGTTCATAAAGTAGTTCAGTGGTGGGAAATGAATTTTCTTCCTTACTATTTCCTACTAACAGCAGAGGAATAGCCGACTATAGGGTCGAATTTCACTTCTGAGCTGGCTGTTGAGGTAGCCACTTCCCACAAGTGGCCATTTAAATGTAAATTTAATGAAAATAATACAATTTAAAATTCAGTTCTTTAGTTGCACTAGCCACATTTCCAGTGCTCAACAGTCACACGTGCTAGTGGGCACTGTATTGTACAGACACCTCCACGATGTTCCCTTCACAGCACAAAGTTCTGGTGAACAGGGGTGCTTTAGATAGATGCCAATTATGTTGCCATTGCAAGGTAGGTTTCCAATCAGTTGCAACACACAAAATTAATAATAAGGGAAAGAGGTTTGCTTTTTTATTCTCTTAAATATTTTTTGAGGTAATTGCAGATTCACATGCAGTAGTAAGAGGTAAGATAGAGATTCCTTGCACTTGACCCAGTTTTCCTCAGTGGTAACATTTTGCAAAACTCCAGTACAATATCACACTCAGAATACTGACATCAAAACAATCCACCAATCATGTCCAGATTTCCTCATTTCACTTGTACTTATTTGTATGTGTGTATTTGGATCCATACAATCTTATCACAAGTGTAGGTTTGTGTATCCACCACTACAATCAAGATACAGGACATTTCCATCAGCAGTAGGATCCCTCCTGTGCTCTTTTAAAACCAAACATACCTCTCTCTTGCTCCCACCCTCCCCTCCCTCAGCCCTGTCCACCAGTAATCTGTTCTCCATTTCTAAAATTGTCTTGTTTCAAAAATGTTTCGTAGCTGGAGTGGTACTTTATAACCATTTGGGATTTTTTTTTTTCATTCAGGATGAAGAGCTTTGTTTTGGATTTTCTCCCTTATCCAAGTGTATGCTTGGTCTGTCATTTGGTGGCCTCTCTGCACACCCCTAGCCTCATTTACTTTCTTCTATATCGGGGGTGAGCCAGTGCTGGAAGGATGTGGGATGGACTAAATCCACTGAGGGTCACTCAGCAATCCAACATGACATGTAGGGAAGTCTGGTCATGGTGAGGGGCCTGCTATTTCAAAAGGCCAATTCTAAGAGGGCCGTGAATCAGGATGTTCAGCCTGATTTATCCTTGTAGTACTGGTACCAACACAAGAAGTGACAAGTCAGTGGGGCAGGATGCTCCAGAAAATATAATCCATAAACATTATGTAGTATGAGAATGTAGTGTATGATAAAAGTGACATTAACAATTAACAGGGGAAAGAAAGAATTACTCCAGAAAATGGTAGTGGGGAAAGGGGGCAATCATTGAAAAGGAAAAAAAGAGATCCTCACCTTCCAAGTACACCAATTAATTTATAAAGAGAAAGAAAAAGAGCTTTCTCACTTTTCAAATTTATGGGTTTATAAATGAAAGTATAAAACAAGTATAAGAAAATACAAGTAAAATTTCTATTTTTCATTATGGGCAAAGGGGTTTGTCAGCATAAGGACAGGGAAGAATCACAAAGGAAAGGACTGAAAGATTTGAGTATGGGAAAGTTTTAGAAAGTTTGTTTTGGAGAAGCATGCTAATGTAAAGCCAGTGAATTAAGATCTTGATTTAAGATTTTGTATATTTTTTCTCTGTCAAACTTGGGTCTTGATCCTGGTGGTGTGTTTGTGAGCCTCCCACCCTTCCTCGCACACAGCACCTTGTCTGGGTTCTGAACGTGAGAAGGAAAATAAGAAAGTAAAGGTGGAGGCCCCGGATCTCTGTTAGGAATCTAATGGCTAATGTGGAAGGTATTCCTTGGTTGTGAGAGTCAAGTCTGAGATCATCCTGGCTGCTATATGGAGAAAGAATTTTATCACATCTATTAACTTGTGGAATAAACGCACATCTTTACCACCCACTGCTTCAAAACAGTTATTTTATTTGTCCTAAGGTACACAGTTCCATGGTGTCTATTAACATAATAGATGTTGGAAAACAGTATTAAATTCTAAGTTAAATTCTAAGTTGTTGAGCTCTCGGGGTCTTCCCCTGCCCATGATTATTTATCCTCACAGAATTCGACTTGACCCTGGCTCTTCTTCTTATACTTTCTGCCTGTTTAGGATGGTCAATAAGCTTTGCCTATGGGTAGAGCATGGACTTAGAGGCTCAGAATCTAATTGTAGCTGAGCCGCTGAGTAAGCATGTCACTCCAGGCAATTTACTTAAGTCTATGAAAATTAAACAATATAACAGCAGATTTTAATAAGTAACATACTCTTGCAATAGGGCGGTGGGTCCAGCACGACCTCAACTCAACTTGAATTTGTACAGAGATGACTGGCATTTCAATGAAAGCATGAGGGAGTTGGGTGGGAGAACTGAGGGTCTTTAGTCCAGTCAGGAGAGTGAAAAATTGCAAAGGGTTGGGTTGGTCAGTGTAAAGGTCAGTAGGCCACAGTGTCTGCTACACAGAGACTGGGAGACGGAGGTTCTGTGCTTTCTCATGATTACATTTCAACACAATGGCTTTCAAATCCTTAAGAAAGACGCTCCTGGGTTGGAGCAGATGGGTATATATCTCAAACAGACAGAAGAAGGGTTCACAAATTGTAAATAAATGCTCTAAGAAAGGGTGGTAAAGAGCCTATGGTCAGATGTGGGCTAGAACGAATAGGAAATCCTTTTGGCGGCCTTGAGCATGTTAAGGGGGCTTGAGTCATCCTATGATGGGGCCTCGAGCTGTTAGAAAGTATGCCAGTGTTTCAGTCTTTTAATGTGGGGGGAGGGGAGTGAATGAAATCATTTGTGCTAACTCTCATCACCTGGCTGACAAGAGAATTTTCACATATTGAGGTATAAGGGGTAAGAAGTTGGGTTCAAAACTGATCCGGCTGGAACTAAAAAGCCTGACTTGTGGTCTATGAAACATACATTGTACATAAGCTTAACCATTAAAGTAAAGAATGCACTCTCAAGATAAGAATGCATCCTTCCCTATTGGTAGTGTCTGGATTGGTCCCCTTCCTGACATCAGGGTCACGTTGACCTGGTCATTTGCAACTTAATACCTCTGAAATTTTCATGAAAATGTATCCTGGGTGTGATTACTACATGTTCTTTGTTCCAAAAAGATAAAAGACTGTACTGCAACCCATGCTTCTCGGGAACGCCTTCTAAGGCCTCCTCGGGTTATAATCCTTACTCTGGCTCATAATAAACTCAACCCAATTTTGATTTATAGGTTGTTATGGATTATTTGCACGGACATGGCCAAGGCGGTGTTTTCCAGGTTTCTCCACTGTAAAATTACTCTTCCCCCATCCCGTACTGTACTCTCTGGAGGCAAGTCTCTAAGGAGAGTCCACAGTCAGGGCGGGGGTGGGTGGGGCAGAGACTGAGCTCTGTCTCCTAGAGGGAGTAGCAGGTACATAATGATTTGGAAATCTGTAGGCGGCCTCTGGGACTGCTAGGTCGGATAGGGAGAATTGGGCGGGCCTCATGGGGCAAACGGGCTAGAGGGCTCCCTGCCCGCAGATGGCGGGGTGGAGCCGATCCAGGCAAAGCCGGTCGAGGCAAAGCCTGTGAACTAGGGGGCCCGGGCCAGGCTTGCTAGGCCTTAGCGGGAGGCGCAGCAGATCAAGGGACGTGTGGGGGCCTGCTTTAGGGGCTGGGGCCGCGACGCCAGCCTTAGGAGGGCCCTCCCCCTACTGTGGCAGGAGAGACTGCGGTGGGAGTCTTCAGGGCGGAGGTTCCTCGAACCTGAGCCGTTGGGTTTTCTCGCCCTTGGCTCGGGAGTTCAGAGTCCGTGACGCATCCAGGAAACAATGCGCATGCGCAGGCCAGGAGGCGTGGGCCTGCAGCGGAGGGAAGGGTCCGCCCGGCGACTTAGGACTTGGGTCAGTGAGGACTCGATGCGGTCCTGACGGCCCTCAGCCTCTCCCTCTGCCGCTCCGGCTCGCTTCTTGCATTCGCCTTCCGGAGGAGCGCTGTACGGAGTTTCCACCTGTAGTGGGCTCGTCATCGCCGCAGCCATCTTGGGGGCGGTGCCCCACCGCGGGTGGGCCGGAAGAACTTCCGGGGTCAGGGAAACCGGTGACCCGGGGTTGCCAGGGCAACAGGAGCCGGGTAGTTTGGGAGTTTTCCTCACGTTTTAATTTTTTGTTGTAAAGAGGAGAACTGAGCTCAGGTTGCCGATCTCCACGAGGCCGGGCATTGTACTGGGCGCTACGGTATCCGTCCATGCTCTGGAAACCGTTCATTTAGCGTATTTGACCCAAGAAGCTGCCGTTGAGGCGCGTGTGTGGGATGCGAAGGAGCCTAAGGTTGCGTCTGTAACCCCCGGGGCCTGAGGCGCTTCGGCCCGAATATGGCGGGCGGGGGTGCGGTGTGTGTGGAACATTCTGAGGACTGTGGGCGGGAGGACGGTGCCGGCAGCCGAGTGTCACCCGTGCTGTCACCGGGCGCTCGTGCAGAGCTGGCTCGCTGGACCCGAGCCCCGCGCGGCCGGCCCGGGGGTGGTTGTGGGGTTCCCGGCCCGTGTGCGGGGGCAGCGCTGGGCCCTGGTACCGGCCTCGCCATCTTTGGGTAGATCGGACAATGAGCCTTCCACTGCTGAAGCGCCGTGTTGAGTGCCTGGGGTTCTTGTTTTGTTGTTCATTTCGGTCCGGTATGTTTTAGTAGTAGATTTTAGGAACAGGTGTATGGTTAAACTGTACATATGTGCACCTAAGTAATATTCCTGTTATGTAAGTCACAGAATAGGATACCAAAGTAACAGTCCAGCCTTCTCCCCTTGCACGGCTTTGAATATCCTTTCTTAAACCCGTTTTTATAAACATATATAATATGCTCAGAAGCAAACCCGAAAGGGAACATTGCATTTGTAATGTTCTGCAGCTTTATTTTTTCACCTCATATATCTGGGACATTTTTACGTGTTAGCATGTACCTTCTTCCACTGAATGGCTGCCTAGTTCTCAGTCCATTGCCTGTGTCATATTGGTGGTTAATGGATTTCATTTTTATGCTTCCAAAGAAGTGGCATGTGGACAGTCTAATAGTCGTTTTAGGTTTTATGATCATCTCTTTGTTTTGTCTGCTTTCTTGGCTCTCATTCTCTAATCTGTTGCAAACCCCATTTAATCACATTGACTTCAGGATCGTGGTTCTAAGAACAAACCATTACTTCACACTCAAAGAGGATTTTTCTTTTTTTCCTCCAAGACTTCCTAGCTGATGGTGGCTTCATGGCTACTGTTCATTCAAAATATAATTAGATCGGTGCTTAGTCAGTGTTGATTAGGACTGAGATGTGTAAGTCACCAAAGCACATGGTCATGAAATCAGTTATGAGGGTTTCCATGATTAATCAGCATTACATCCTTATAGGTACGAGGAACCGTGATTATGATACAACTGGATAGGAAGGCAAAGAAATGTTTTTTGTTTCAGATTGGGCACCTAAACAGAAACTGCACTTGTAGTATGAAGAAGGGAAGAGGAAGAACAAGCCGGATCAGAAGACGAAAACTCTTCAGAAGTTCTGAATCAAGAGGAGGTACAGTTTAGATCATTTGGTGCCAGTGATGGAAAAAGGAATGCTTTGTTGATTGGTATGAACAGATACATGGCGCTTTTCTCAGAGGCTCATGGGCACTTTTCAAAAAGGATATTTCTTAAAGAATACTCTTTTATTAGTGCCATTATATTCTTTTAAACCCTGTGGGACTATGAATATAGTTCTCATTGCTCCAAGTACGTCTGCTCTGGAGATGACTCCCAGATTTCTGTTTCTGGTCCTGGCCTCTAGCTACCTGTAGGATCTCAGTGTTTGGATCTAAATTCATCATTTCAAGTTCAGTGTAGCCCAGTCTGAACGAGATACTGTATGTGAAAGTGCTTGGCCAGCTGGAAAGTACTACATAAATGCAGTTGTCATTTTTGATGAAAATTTAACCACTCGTCCTGGTGGACCTCAGGTGTGTCAGCATCTTCGGAGGTGATCTTTGACTGTGGTTCTTTGTCCTCTGTAGCCAGTGTCCTGCTCGACCTCGCCTGGCCTTTCGTAGGTGAACTGCTTCTCTGTTCTGCCTGTAGATGATTTCAGCTGGGTCTTTGCTGGTTTACCTACACCCTTGTTTTTCTTCCCCGCCTGTTGTTCCATTTGCTGCTGTCAGTCTGATGTTCCTAAGGGACTGGTTCCCTGTCGCCTTTTTGGTGGGGAGCCTCCATGAATGCTCCTTCCCTCTTGTGTGACATCTGAGCTCCTCCTGTGTGACATCGACTCCTCTTGTAGGTGGCCCCACCCTGCCCCTCCATGTACTGGACGTCTGTTCTTACTCATGGTTCCCTGAGCATGCTCTGCACCACTGCCCTTCCTCGTAATCCTTCCTCTGCCCAGAACACCTGTTTTCCTTCTTGTTACTTGTTCCCTTTCTCTCTAACCTTCAAGACTGAGCTGAGATTATGTCTTTGGTAATGCCATTTCCATTTCTCACAAATGTCACCTTTTGTGAAGTTGCTTATTGGGCATTATTCTTAGGGACCTACTGGTTTTCTAGTTGTTTTTCCTGGAAGTCTTGTTTCCCACCTAAAATGTGATCTTTTTGAGGGTGAAGAACACATTGAGCTTTCCCTACAGTGCAACATATGCTGTGTGGATAGTAGTTGCTCATTAAATGCTCAGTCATTAAATACTCTTACTGTAAAATCTAGTTTTTGGTTTGTGATAATATATTTTGGGAGTATTATATCGTGGATCGTATTTGAAAAAAACAGTTTTATTGAGGTATAACTGACATACAATGAATATTACATTTTAATGTGTAGAATTTGATAGATTTTGACTTATGTGTTTGTACAGGAAACCATCGCCGCAGTCAAGATAATGAGCATATCCATCACCCCAGGAAGTTTCCTTATTTACCTTTGTAATCCTTTCCTTTTGGCCCTCTTTGAACCCTTCCTCCCCCTGTCCCCATGCAACCCGTGATCTACTTTCTGTCACTATCAATTTGTTTACATTTTATAGTTTTATAAAATGATAGCGTATGAGTTTTTCTTTTATTTGGCTGCTTTTACTCAAGATAATCATTTTGGGGTAATTCTTTGTTGCTGTGTATCAGTAGTTCATTCTTTTTTATTGTTGACTGTATGCCATGATTTGCTTATCTATAATGTTGATGGACGTTTGGGGTGTTTTCATTCATTGCCTACTACAGATAAAGCCATTATGAACATTTGTGTACAACAAATCTTTGCATGGACACATAGTTTCTTTTCTCTTGGGTAAATACCTAGGAGTAAAATGATTGAATCATATCATAGGTGTAGGTTTTGTTATTAAAGAAACTGTCAAACTGTCAAGCTGGTTGTATAATCTCATGTTCCCACCAGCAGTTTATGAGAGTTCCAATTGCTCCACATTCTTGCCAACACTTGTTGTCGTCTTTGTGATTATAGCCCTCCTAAGTGGTGTGAAGTGCTGTGTTATTGTGGTTTTTGATTTGCGTTTCCTAATGACTAGTGTGCTTATTTGCCATTTATCCAGGCATTCTTTGGTTCACTGTTTAGATCTTTCACCCATGTTTTAATTAGGTTGTGTTGTTTTTCTTGACTACTCAGAGTTCTTTAGATATTCTGGATTCGAGTTCTTTATCGGATACTTGATTTGCAGATGTTTTCAATCACGCTGTGGCTTCTTTTTTAATTCTCTTAACAGTCTCTTTTGAAGAGCAGAAATTAAAATTTGATAAAAGTCCAGTTTATCAATTTGTTGTTTGTGGACCTTGCTTTTGGTGTTGTACCTAAGAAATCTGCCTAACCCAAGGTTGAAAAGATTTTCTCCTATGTTTTCTTCTAGACGTCTTATGGTTTTAGGCTTTATATTAAGTCTATGATTCAGTTCGAGTTAATTTTTATATATGGTGCAAGACATGAATAAGTTTATTTCGTTTGCTTATGGAGATCAAATTGTTCCGGCAACATTTATGAAAAAACTATCCTTTCTCCTCTGAATTGGCTGTGTACCTTTGTAAAAGATAGGTTATCCATTTATGTGTGGATCCATTTTTGGACTTTCTGTTCTGTTCCATTCATCTGTTTGTTGTCTTTATGACAATAGCTGGCTCTTTGCTGGTTACTGTGGCTTTATAATAATTTTTGAAATCAGTATTTCGAAATGGTTTTGGCTACTCTAGATCCTTTGTATTTCCATATGAATTTCAGAATCATTTTGTCAATTTCTATGAAAAAGCCTGCTCGAGTATTGATTAGGAATTATTGAATCTATAGATCAATTTGGAGAGAATTTGACATCTCAACAATATTGAAACTTCCAAACCATAAACCAGGTATGTCTTTCCATTTATTTAGGTTTTTGATTTCAGACTTTTAAAATTTTTATTTATTTATTTTTTGAGGAAGATCAGCCCTGAGCTAACATCTGCTGCCACTCCTCTTTTTTTGTTGAGGAAGACTGGCCTTGGGCTAACAGCCGTGCCTTTCTTCCTCTACTTTATATGTGGGACACCTACCACAGCCTGGCTTGCCAAGCGGTGCCATGTCTGCACCTGGGATCTGAACCAGCGAACTCCAGGCTGCCAAAGCGGAATGTGCACACTTAATCACTTTGCCACTGGGCCTGTCCACCAAAATTTTTATGTTTAATTGTGGTAAAATACATATAACATAAAATTGGCCATTTTTAAGTATACTTCAGTAATGTTAAGTACATTCACATTTTTGTGCAACCAATCTCCAGAACTCCTTTTATCTTGCAAAACTGGAGTTCTATACCCATTATATAACAACTCCTTATTACCTTCTCCCCCCAGCTCCTAGTAACCATCCTTCTACTTTTTCTTTTCATGACCTTCACTATCTAGATAACTCATATAGGTGGAATCATACAGTACTTGTCTTTTTGTAATTGGTTTGTTTCACTTGGCGTAATGCCCTCAAGGTTCATTCCTGTAACACCTGTCAGAAAGTCCTTTCTTTCTAAGGCTAAGTAATATTCCATTGTATATTTATATATACGACATTTTCTTTATCCATTTATCCGTTAACGATATTTAGGTTACTTCTACCTCTTAGCTATTGTGAATAATGATGGTGTGAATGTGGGTGGACAGATATCCCTTTGAGGCCCTGCTTTCTTTTCTGGATATACATCCAGAATTGTAATTGCTGAATCATATGATAATTATATTTTAATTTCTTGAGGAATCGACATACTGTTTTTCCACAGCAGCTGTACCATTTCACATTCCCACCAACAGTGTGCAAGAGTTCCAGTTTTTCCACATCCTTGCCAACACTTTTTGGTTTCTGTTTTTCTGATAGTAGCCATCCTAATGGGTGTGAGACAGTACCCATTGTGATTTTGATTTGGCTTTCTGTAATGATTAGTGATGTCGAACTCTTTGTATATGCTCTTCAGCATTTGTGTATCATCTTTGGAGAAATATCCATTCAAGTCCTTTGCCTGTGTTTTAATTGAGTCTTGTTTTTCCATATAGGCATTTACAGCTGTAAATTTCCCTGTCTCACAGTCCTGTAGGCTAGAAGTCCGAAATCAAGGTGTCAGCAGCATCGCGGGTTATGAGGGAAGGATCTGTTCCAGGCCTCTCTCCTTGTAGACGGCTGTCTTCTCCCTGTGTCTCTTCTGTCGTCTTCTCTCTGTGCATTCTCTGTCCAGATTTTCTCTTTTCATAAGGATACCAGTCATATTGGATTGGGCCCACCCTAATGACCTTATTTTAACTTGATTTCCTCTGTAAAGACCTGTGTAGGAAGGCCGGTAGCTAGTGTGTTAAGACTGTGCGGATTATGACCTGCCGAATGAGGAGGGACAAGGCACTCATGCGGGTCGGCACATAGCTCCCTCAGCATCTGAACCCCTGCTTTTGGGGTAGTGAAAACCCTCGGGCCATTTTGATTGGAGGCACAGATTCAATATAATCGTATAAAAGAAGTAAAGTAAGAAGATTTATTACTTATAGATCCCAAAGATGTGGATGGGGTTTAGAGGGGCTGTCCTCAGTCCCAGGTCATGAGCGAGCAGGAGATAGACAGCAGTGTAGCAAGCACTTATTATTTATAAGGTGGTTAGGGTGGCGGTCACTAACTTTCTGCAGGCTCAACTCTAAGTGGTTATTTTAACAGGTGCCCCAGGAGAAGCATTGCTGGAACTTGCGCAGGGAATCGTAAGCTCAGGTCCTTACCTGAATATCCAGACTCTGGGTGTGAGCAGGGTTGTCATATTGTAAAATGCCTAGGTGAGGGCAACTCCAAATAGCTGTTTTCTCATCATGAGACCCCATCTCTAAATAAGGTCATATTCTGAGGTACTGGGGCCTAGGACTTCAACACATAAGCATTCGGGTATACAATTCAAGCCATAATAGGTCCTTTTCTTTATTTTGCTTTCCTTATTGCACTGGACAGAACCACCAATACAATGTTGAGTAGAAGTGGGGAGAATAGGCATCCTTGTCTTGTTCCTGGTCTTAGCGGGAAAGCGCTCAGTTTTTGGTTATTAGGTATGTTGGTTGTAGATTTTCTGTTCGATATTCTCCATCAGGTTGAGGAAGTTCCTTTCTATCCTTGTTTGCTGAGAGTGTTTGTCAGGAATGAATGTTAGATTTTATCAAATGCTTTTCCTATGTCTTTGAGATGCTCATATGGTTTTTCTTTTTTCGTTTACATTATTCGTGTGTGTTAAAATGTATCCCCTTTTGTGATAACGCTATCTGAATTGTTTGTGAACACTGGGACAGTTCATCAGAGATTTTCTTTTTAACTGGTCATCTGATTATATGGTGATTTTAATCACTATTTTTTCTTTCCATTGATTAGTGAATGAGAGCTACAAACCTGAATTTATAGAGCTGAAGAAGTGGCTGAAAGAGAGGAAGTTTGAAGACATGAACTTAACACCTGCCCGTTTTCCAGGTACAGTCTGGCTTTCGACTCTCACGACCTTTCTCACATGAAAGACGTGTGGGCACAGGTGCCAGGAAAGCGGGGGTGATTCCTGCAGGTGAGCTGTATCCTCTCTGGGAGCAATCTTCTACTGTGCGTCAACCTTCCTGCCTTGGACCTGTAATACTTATTTATACTTTGCCTTGTTCCAAAAATGAATTAAAGTGGCTTGTGGGGACAAATTCCAGAATGGTGAAATAAAATGAAAAATTCAAAAAAGGAAATAAGAATAGAAAAGTAAGACAAAGGCAGATATAAGGATGACACATAAAAGCCATGACTATTATAAAATCTTGTTGTATGCCTGTCAGAGGTGAGCCACAAATTTGACTCATCTTTCCTCAGCCCAGACAATTGATATGATCAATTACCTGAATCTTCGTGTCGTGTCTACAAAACTAAATTATTTGTCAGCAGAATTCCAGGTATTCCTGGCCCTTAGACTTGCAGGAAATGTCTTCGCTGTGTCCTGATACACCAGACATTTGTGTAAAGTGGTGACTGCTGTCCTCATCAACATACCTACAGTGGTTTCATGGGATTTTTCAGACCATGCAGGCTAATGAGATTATCCCATAGGTCAGGTGAATCCAGATGGTTTTCTCAGGGAAGGGAGGTTCCAAACAACTCTCGGAGGTGCTTGTTTTCTGTGGTGTGGCTGGAGGAGAGGAGTCCTTGGAGAGGCCTCAGCATACTGCTCCCTCAGCTGGGTGGTGACTGTGCTTCCCAAGTCTCGGAGGAGGAACCCTCTGGTGGCCACAGCTTCAACAGTCACCTTGGCAGAGGTGGATTAACATTCTCTTCCGGAAGTTGAGTAGCTTGTTGTGGAGGCTGGGTTAACATTCTTTTCTGGAAATTGAGGATCTTGTTATGGAGTTTGGATTAGCATTCTGTTCTGGAACATTCTCTTAGAGAAGTTGGGCCGCTTGCCATGGGTATGTGTCTGCATACAAGGCCACCCAGCTCTATCCTGAAGTGGGCTGGAGGTAACCAAGGAGACGACCAAGATGCTCTCATAAGGATTTTGGTTCTGCTGTAGCACAGAGACAGTTATGTGAGTGGGGCCTTGAAGTCTGTTTCACAGGGCAGGTGCAGGCATCTTTTACCCTATAGAAAAATTAAATCATATGCTTCTGAATGCTCCCCTTGGCCATTAAAATGATTATTCGAGTACCCATTGGGTAATTTCACTTTGAGCAAATTAACTTCCTTATACATCACCCAAGATAGACGATATACCATGTGTGGCCCTGGCCAAGTGAGGTGATGTTTGTAAAGTTGTTCCCTATGCATCAGTTACACGTGATTACATTCGGCTAAAATACTTGATTTGAGCCATTTTCTAATAGGGCTGCTCTTACTTTATGTTGGTGAACCATAATTGTCAGCCTCCAACAGAATGTTTAACTTTCTGTTTTTGTGTGTCAGGGAACAATCAGTAAAAGCCATTCTGTTAGATTTGACTGGTTGGAGTTCTTCATGAGATGATCAAGAGAAAATAGTGTCAGGAGTAGACTTGTGCTAAGGCCTGCCTACTCCTCCATGTCCTTTGTCCTGAGAAAGATAGGTTTAACATTAGCAAGAAGGAATTGGCATGTGGTTTAAATGGAATGCCTGAAAATAAGTTCTCTGTCTATAATTTGGAGCAGTGAAGAGTTACTGTTTATGAAAGGGAACATCTCTCCCGTGGCCCATCCACAGAGTCATGGGCATATGGGAGCTAGAGAGCACAATGGTTGGGTAGTGATCAGAACCCACTCCTTACAATTCTAGGGGTAAGGAAGCTTCTGTCTTAGCTCGGCTGCTACAACAAATTGCCATAGACTGGGTGGCTTAAACACCAAGTTATTTTTCACAGTTCGGGAGGCTGGGGAGTCCGGGACCATGGTTCAGGCAGACTCTGTGTCTGGTGATGACCAATTCCTGGTTTGCAAATTGCCGTCTTCTCCTTGTGTTCTCGCATGATGGAGAACAGGGAGCTGGAGCAAGCTGTCTTCTCTCTTCCTGTAAGGGCACTATATGCCACTTATGAGGGCTCCCTCCTTATGACCCAATCACTTACCAAAGGCCCCACCTCCTGATGCCATCACATTGGGGGTTAGGATTTCAACACATGAATTTAGAGGGACACAAACATTCAGTCCATAACACCTTCCCTAAGTGCTTTATGTATCCTTGGCTCTTAATCAGTGTATGAGAGGAGGGAACAAAATTCCGGGGAATTAATCTTAGTTGGTGGAGGGGCAAGGTATGGCTCCTAGGTTGCAAGCAGGATTCAGCCTGTAAGATTCTCCGCTTATTCATGCTTTGGGAACTGATGCCAGTATTTCCTTGTACCTCCAAAAACACTGGCCAAATCTGGGCCTCCATAGTGGATATATGATAGTAAAAATTTTATGGCAATGAGAAGTCTGTAATAAGCTTTCCTTTTGTAGGATTTGTTTTTTTTCTTTTGAGGAAGATTAGCTCTGAGCTAACATCTCCCAATCCTCCTCTTTTTTTTTTTTCTTTTGCTGAGGAAGACTGGCCCTGAACTCACATCCATGCCCATCTTCCTCTACTTTATATGTGGGACACCTGCCACAGCATGGCTTGCCAAGCAGTGCCATATCCATACCCGGGGTCTGAACCAGTGAACCCCAGGCCACTGAAGTGGAATGTGTGCACTTAACTGCTGCCGGCCCATCCTTTTATAGGATCTTAATGGCCACTTCCTACTTTGCCTAGTATATCTGGAATAAAATGATAATAAATGTAGGTTACTGTGATTTGTGATATCGAACACTGTATTGTAGAAATATAAAGTATCTTCCAGATTTGTTCCATATGCCAGGTTCTGTTCATATATATGTTTGGAGAGAAATTTCTGCTTAAAGTAGCACATGAGTCTTTTAAAGGATGACCTCATAGAAAAAAAATCCTCCCATTAGTAGTTGATTCCGGGAGGGGTTGTGGCCCATGGGGAGGATTAGCTCGACCTTGGGACACAGAGAAGAAATTAACTAAGTTCTTAAAACCAAAACCGTGTGTCTAGGCTGACACTATGCTTCTGGGTGGGGAGATGAGTTAGGACTCATCAAATCAAACTTGCTAGACTCCGGATTCAGGACTCAAGGCAGGAATTCCCTCCCTGAACCAGGAGCTTCTGGTAGTCCTGCAGGAGTTGACCTTTGCTGAATTATATTCTCTTCCAGCTGGGAGGAAAAAGGTCAAGAACTATGAATTTGAAAGAATGAATACTCTAGACCCGATATAATGATTATAGGTCGTATTTCACGTACGCCTGCCAGAAAAGCTGTCGTCTGACTGTGGTGCAGGAGGGGAGCCTTGGGCCTAGAGAGGTAAACTTCTGGATGTTGTTGGTGGTGACAGTGCACCTGGTGAAGTTACTGTTGTGACTTGCTCTGGCCAAGGCCTTGGCTCCCAGGGAGCAGCTGGCCCTGGATCTGCCCTGCCAAGCTCATCCAGTCAAGGAGAGTACATCTGATGGGTTGCCTGGTCGGGGAGGGAAGAGTGTCGTCTGCAGGCTTTGTGGGACCTGTGTGGGCTTACTGGTCAGCCAGTCAGAGAGCTCTTAAGATCCTCACTGGGGAAAGCTGGGTCTGGTAGTGGGTAAAAGTGGGCTGAGGATCCAGCCTCTGAGGGTGGGTGGGCATTAGGAGTAGACGCCCCCACCACAGCTGGTAGGCCCCAGGGGAGAGAATAGTGCTTAGAGGTTCCTGTAAGAGCCCCAGCAGCCGATCTGTATAAAGTGAAAGACCTTTAGGTCTCCTCTCTGAAGCTTACTTTGCCCTTTGAGGACTGTAAACCCAAACGAGGTCAGGACATTTTCCAAATAGCTTCTTAATCTTCTCTTTCCCCTGGTAGTCAAAGGATGCGAGATGTTCAGCTTCAGCTTTGTGGGCTTTTGAAGTTCATTCACATGTTTTATTCAAAACGGTATCTCTAAGACCTTGAAGACATAGTAGGATTTACCCTTTTTCTATCTTTGTGTTTCTAGGTACTGGAAGAGGGCTGATGAGCAAAATATCCCTGCAGGTGAGAACTCTCTTATCCTTGAAACCCAATGTAGATTTGCTGCTTTGTTTTGTGGTTCAAATCAAGTGAAGTAAAAATATTTCAGACATGCAGGCATTTTTTACCTAATGGATATGTTTGAATACAATTCTGTCTGTTAGGATTAAGTTAGCTGTATATAAGAGACAAACTGAAAGTAACAATGCTTGAACAGAGCATAAGTTTATTTTGCTGTCATGTACTCAAGCCTGGATAGGCAGACCTGGCTGGTATGCTGTCCTATGGCCATCAGAGACCCAGACTCCTTCCCAGCTCTCTGTCTGTGTAGATGGAGCCCTGCACCCCAGATCCAGGGTGTGGCTCCTAGAGCTTGAGCAACAGGAAGGAGCAAGGTGGCGAAGACGGGCAGATTTTCTCCTGTCAAGGAAATTCTACCCCCCTTCTCTCTGCCAGCGACCAGGTCCGTGTCCCCAGCCAGCTATGAGGGAGGTGGGATGGGTCCTCCTTTCCCTAGCACAGTGCCCTCCAGATTGGATTGTGTTAGTGCAGAGCGGGAGAGAAGGCACATTGGGGTAGGCAACTAGCATGCTCTGCCTCAAGATTTTATAAATCAGATCATATTTTCAATGTGCCAGGACAGGGAGCTGCTCTCCTCTGAGAGGCCGTGCATAGTATAGTAAGTAGAGCCTGAGCAGGCAGAGGGGAGGTGGCCTCGGCGTGTCCCAGGATTGCCTTGAGTTTGCCGTGGCACCTGGAGTGAGGCTCCTAACCCTTGGCTTCTGTTTCCTCACCTGGAAAACGAGCAGGTAAATGACATAGATGACCTCCAAGGGTCATTTTAGTTCTTTTCATGCTGTTAAAGGACATCTAGTGCATGATTTTCTGTAAAGCTAGAAATTAATTCCTTAATTTATTTTTAATTATTTAAGATTACTTTTAGTTCTTTAACTTATATAAAACCTAGCTGTGAACGTTTGTTTAGCCTAAAGAATGGTAGCTTTTAATGTTGTGATTCTGCTGTACTATTTTTATTATTCAAAAATTTTTCATTGTGGTAAAACATACATGATTTTACCATCTTAGCCGTTTTTAAATGTACAGCTCAATAGTATTAGGTACATCCACATCGTTGTACAATATTTTTATTTTTTGAGGGGAAGTATAATTAACTTTAATCTGTAGCAGAATTTGGGAAGGAGAGATGTACCTCTTATGTATATAGTAGTAATTATGGGTAGTTTTTGTTTAGATCATGAAATGATAAGTGGAAGTTGTTTTATGTGTACTCGTAAATGTGGCTTTTTTGTTACACTTTTTGAAAATTGAGATATATTTTACACACAGCAAATGTACAGATTTTAAATGTCCAGTTTGATGAGTTTTGATGATGAAGAGATTTACCACAATCAGGTTACAGAACATTTTATTAAGTGACTGTTTTCAAAATCAGAAAGTCATGTGACATTGGAACAGGAAGGGACTGTTGTGATCATCCAGCTTAATCTGGATTTATAGATGAGGAAACCAGAAATTGAACCCAGAAGACTTTTGCTGAGATTTTTAACCAACTAGGATGCCTGTTATAATAAAAGCAGGATCTTACATATAGTTTCTTAGTGCTTTATTTGATTCTGGGGTCTATTACTTGACATCTTAATTTTTTTTTTTAAAGATTTTATTTTTTCCTTTTTCTCCCCAAAGCCCCCCAGTACATAGTTGTATATTCTTCGTTGTGGGTCCTTCTAGTTGTGGCATGTGGGCTGCTGCCTCAGCGTGGTCTGATGAGCAGTGCCATGTCCGCGCCCAGGATTCCAACCAACGAAACACTGGGCCGCCTGCAGCAGAGCACGCGAACTTAACCACTTGGCCACGGGGCCAGCCCCCTTGACATCTTAATTCTTCTTTGTGTTTCTTCTGTCTCTGAGGGGGAGGACTGAAAACTATACTTTTGCAGGTGGTAAAACGAGACCCTTGTGCTGGGTGGCCTGCCCTTTCTTTAGCTAGTGGGTGCAGGTTGTACATAGAGTAGGCCATTGACTGGAATGGCCTGGACACATGGATTTCACCAGATAGAATTTTTCTGCCTGTTTCCCGTAGGTAGCACTATTTCCTGTCATAGGAAGATGAAGGAACAATTTTATTTGAGTTGTTGGCGTGTTAGCGCATTCCTTTCTGGTGAATGATTGACTGGTGGTAGGTGTCAGTCACGTAATTAACCTTTAATTCTTGCTGAGGCTGTAGTACCTGGCGCTGGAGCAGGCTTGCCTGCATCTGCTGACTCAGGGACTTGAGAGCCAGTCCATTGGTTGGCTCTTTGGTGGTCTGTGGTTGGGTTATCCCGGGTTCTTAGTGGGTGATTGTGGAATCAAGGACTTGAAAAGACTTATACTCGCAGGTCCTTTCCAAGCATGGGTGTTCTAAACTTTCCTTTCTTTTCGGTGAGGAGGGACAGATGATTATTTCATTGCCTGAGAGTTGCCTGCTCACCACGGACACAGTGATCAGAAGCTACTTAGGGGCGTACATTGCTAAGTAAGTGACTGCACATATGCTTATCTGGTGCAAGGGCTTCTCCTTTAAAGTCTGTATCATTGGCAATGTGTCATCTAAGGCATGGTTCATGAGGACCCAGCCTTTTTGTGTAGATAATAAATATCTGAAATGGTTCGAAAGGTTTACTCTGATCTATGAAGTTGGTACTTAATTCAATGTAAACTGCATTTTTAATGTTTTTAATAGGCTGCCTGGGATGCAGGTTTGAATCCTGATCTATCACTTCCTAGAGAATGAAGATTGAATGGGATAACAGATGTAAATGACAGCTGAGTGCCTTGACTCCTAGCAGTCCATTCTCCTCCATCATAGTAGATCCTGACAGATGTTAGTTACTCTCTTTTATTTTTACCCTTATTGTACTTGCTTGAATTCTCCTTCAGCTAAGAAGAGCTGTTGACATTATGAAAGGTTTAGTTTTATTTAGCGTAGAAGAGAGGAGGCCAACATGGGAGCTGAGAACTATTTTTCTGGCTTATCTTATATTGGGCCTTTGTTATATTGGGGGACTTTCTGAGGACAGAATGAGTGATATCCTTAGTAGAAGGGGTTTCTATATTATGGGAGTTGGAAGATTGTATTGTTTCTTAACCCGGCGTAAGTTCTGGACCTTTTTCTCCCTGCCATATTTTTATTTATTTATTTATTTTTTGCCCGTCTTACTCTACTTTATATATGGGACGCCTACCACAGCATGGCTTGATGAGCAGTGCCATGTCCGCACCCAGGATCCGAACCGGTGGACCCCGGGCCCCCAAAGCGGACTGTGCGAACTTAACCACTGTGCCACTGGCCACCCCCCCCACCCCCCGCCATATTTTTTAAGAGGGCTGATGTATCTTCATTGGCCTGAGTAGAAGCAAGGATCCTCTTTATATTAACATTTACTGTATTATTCTGAAATTCTGAGTAGAAAGTATGGTAATATAGGAATCTGGACTTTGAAGGTTAATGAAAACTTTTCTAAATATATTTCGTGCAACATGACATCTTTTTATTGGTAAATAAAAATACTGCAATGTATAATTTGCAGTAGAGTGGGTAAGTTTAGGAACAAAAGCTTTAGAACTGTAACAAGTGTGTAATGAGCATATTCAGTTTTCTATGCAGGCTGGTATCTTACAATAGAACTTTCTGCAGTGATCGTGATGTTTCACCCTTCATTGACCATGGTGGTAGCCACTAGCCACATAGGGCTGTTGAGCACTTGAAATGTGGCTTGTGTGACTGAAGAATTGAATTTTCAGTATTATTTAATTTTAAATAATTAAAGTTGAGATAGCTGTGTGTACCTAGTGGTTACTGTATTGGAGGGACAGGTCTAGGTTCTTCCCACCAATTTTCTTCCCTAACAAGTTTTCATCCTTATCTAGGTGAAACCAGTGGACTTCCAGCAAAAGCTTTAAAACTAGAGAACCAACTTGGAAGCAAAGAGGTCTTTTGCAAAAAAGAATCTCTTGCAAACAAGCTGGAGCTCGGGTTAGTGAGTCAGTGCTTGTGTCAGGGTGGCTGAGTGCTTGTACTGGGGTGCGCTCCTGAGCAGAAAGCGCTGAGGAGGGAAGACCTCTCTCGGGTGCCCTGAGCAGACCTGAGTGCTGGCAGTTCGGCCACAGTCCCTCTGGGGACAGAGCAAACCGCTAGGATGTCTGTAACTCTTGCTTACTCCATATTTTGAATAAAAGTAATTCCTTTAATTCGGCTTTTAATTTTAAAAGGTGGCAGCCTCCTCTGTCTCCTCTTCTGGCTCTCTGCACCTTTTTGGTTGCAGAAAAGCATGCTGGGGACCGGTCTGTCTGGAAGCCTTACCTGGAGGTTTTACCGAAGGCCTACACCTGCCCTGTTTGTTTGGAGCCGGAAGTGGTGGATCTTCTTCCCAAACCATTGAAAGCAAAGGCCAGAGAACAGAGAACCCGCTTGCAGGCGTTCTTTACTTCCTCCAGAGACTTTTTCTCTTCCCTGCGGCCTCTATTTTCCGAGGCTGTTGAGAGCATCTTTAGCTACAGTGCCTTCCTGTGGGCTTGGTGCACCGTCAACACCAGAGCTGTGTACATGAAGCCCAGGCGGAGGCGATGCTTTTCCGCAGAGCCAGACACCTACGCGCTCGCTCCATACCTGGATCTGCTCAATCACAGCCCAGACGTCCAGGTGAGAGGTTGACAAGAGGACACAGGTTCTGTTTGGATAGGAAGGACTCCAGCATGTAGAACTTGTGACTTTGAATCCTGAGTGAAACCACAGGGAAAGGTGTAGCTGGCTTTGGGCAAACCCCCCTGCTGTCAGGTACGCTCCTGTCTTTCCTCCTGACCCTTCCTGGTGTCCTTTTCCTCTGCCCGTTTTCACACTCTGCTCTCCAGAGACTTTTGTTGTATCCCATGGACTGGCTTACCCAGCAGCCCGCCCCTTCTTCCTCCACCCTAGTACAGAGTCCTTCCTGTCTCCTCCTTGTACACTTGGAGACACTACTGTCAGCAGTTATTTTTGCTGTGATCCCTGATTAACCTGCTCCTTCCCCCTCTGAACTCTACAGTCTTAGGAGTCGGGGACTTTGCCTCATTCCTTCTTGTAACCCCAGTGATCAGTGCAGGGCCTGGCATGTGGTCGGCGTCTAGTAAATGCTTACCAAATGGCTGAATGTTTGTGGGGAGAAGGAGCCTGGGAAATGATGAAAGAATCCCACTCTGGGAGACACTCACAGATCTCTTCTTCCCCAGCCCTCCTCTCCTGTGGCTCTTAAAGGAGGTGATTATTTCTTTAGGGCGTGTTGCAGCAAAGCCTGCTTTGAGGGCAAAGGGTGTTGTATGCCGCCTCACCTGTGACCCATTCACGGTACTCTTGGGGCACGCTGCCTGGGACCCGTGCTCCTGCTGTCCTCTTCATGCCCCACACCACCCTGAGAAGATTGATGATGCCTGGTTAGCCCACATGCCAGTGAGAGGAGAGTGTAGGGAGGCCCCTATTGTGCTTTCTTAGGCCAGGACAATTTCCTTGCTTGTCTGTCTTTTGCTTTTGTAGAAAGATGCATCTCTAACAACCTGAATCACAGGTGACTGAGGTTACAAGTATGTTTACGTGGTTGATATCAATGAAATAATGTTGGGGGTGTGTTGTACAACAGGGTGCTGGTCTCAGGGATTCAGTCCCCATTGGCTTGACCTTTTTTTTTATTGGGTTGTTAGTGCTCCAAACCAGTGTTTTTATAGTTGCGTTTAGTGGCACTGCAAACTACAGCCTGTAGGCCTGTGGTCTGGGGACCCTAGCAAAGCCTAAAATATTCACACTCTGGCCCTTTATGGAAAAATATTGCTGACCTCTGGTCTAGAGTGTGTTGCAGGGGCCAGCCTGGTGGCATAGTGGTTAAGTTCATGTGCTCTGCTTTGGTGGTCCAGGGTTCATGGGTTCTGCTCCGGGATGTGGACCTGTATACTACTCGTCACGCCACGCTGTGGTGGCATCCCATATACAAAGTAGAGGAAGATTGGCACAGATGTTATCTCAGGGCCAATCTTCTTCACATACACAAAAAAGTAGAGTGTACTGCAGCTGACTTTTGGCATGAAACTCTAAACCATGGTCCTGATCTCTTGTTGATGCTGCAAGCTAAGGAATTCAGCCTGTTACTCATCCTCATCTCCCTGGGACTGGCTGCTTAGAAAGGAGACCTCAGTACCCACTCCTTATTGTGGGGGAGCTAGTACTTCTTGGGTTTTTTTCTTCTATACCTGTTAACTAACAAAATTGTCCCCAAATCCGTATGATGGCATCAGCCAATGTCACAGTACAACTAAGATCACACAGCTTTTGAGCTGTTGTAAGACCTGAAATTTCCTGTGCTGCCTTGACTTCTTTGGGCCTTGCAGGCCCCAAAGGCCTGACCCTGAGTTTGCCTGCTCTCACCAGATATTCCCCCCACCTAGGGGGAAAGGCTTCCCCTCGGCTAGTCTCCCTATCACCTGGGCCAGCCGTCCCTGACCTGGTCCTTGACCTAACAGGTTTCACCTCCTTGCCAGCCCTTGAAATTATTCAAAAAGCAAATCACATCTTCCTACGGAAACCGGGGGTCATCCCATCCTCTCGTTACTGCAAAGCCTGCTTCCCATGGCCCCTGCTGGTCCCTCTGCTCCCGAGTGCAGCCCCTGTCTGGTCATTGCATTGTTGCTGCATCCTTTACCCCAGGCTGTATATGTGGCTAATAAACTGTCAGTCTCATCAGTCTGTTGTCAGGTGTTGTGTGTTTGGCAGGATCCTAAGACCCCTCCGGCAGGACTCCCTCCCTCACCGATGGGGTGAACAAAAGAGGCTGACGTGCAGTTGTGGCATTGTTTTCCACATGTGGCTGAATTCAGGGATGAGTGTTTGAAAGCTGCATCTGGCTTAAATTAGTCTTAATCTTTTTAGTTTTGTGGTTAGCTTTAAAAAAACCTTTAACAACTTTCCTTTCTAGGTGCAAGCAGGATTTAATGAGGAAACTCGCTGTTATGAAATTAGAACAGTTTCAAGTTGTAGAAAACATGAAGAGGTATTCATCTGCTATGGCCCTCATGATAACCAACGGCTACTCCTGGAATATGGATTTGTTTCCATCCACAACCCTCATGCTTGTGTTTATGTCTCAAAAGGTTGAAGTCAACTTTGTTCTTACCACTAATATGATAGGATTTTTCCCCCCATCTGGGGATGTATTTATTTTGTTTTAATAAAAATGGCAAAACCTTACAATGTACATCATTAATTTTCTCCGAGGCAGGGTGGCCTTACTCTTATTGACCATGTAATTTTAATGTTGAAGTAAAAACAACAAAGCGTTGATCTTTATTGATGGTGGGAAGAACCGAGAAATGTTTTATTGCATCAGGTCAGATGATAGGATGGAAGAAAAGGAAAACTGCAAAGGAGATAAATACAGTATTAATAGATGGAAAGAAATGGAAATCTTTATACTGAGACATTGTCGCTGTCACTAAGGATAGAATAGAATTAGCAACGAATTAAAAAATACTTATTAAGCACCTACCATGTGTAAGGCATTGTGCTAATCACAGAGGTGAGTACCTTACACATCCCTTGTCTTCAGAGTTCAGTGTCATGATGCAAGGTTGATTTCATTTCTGCTCTTTTGTGACTTAGTAGCCATCATCATTGGTATGACTTTTTAAAATAATAATTTAGCTCGTAAATTCGTGCTGTGAAAATTCCAAATATAATATTAAAAACAGTACATAGAAGACTGATGTTTTTCCTCTCCTGAAGCAGCAGACAAACAGTTTTCTGGACCATGAAGAAATGGCCAGAGATTGACCAAGTGTATAATTTGAGGTGGTTTTAATATAAGTTCTAGTGGAAATAGAAACTTGGTCAAGGTGATATTACTGCATCCTATCAGCAGAATAATAATGTTATTTCTCAAAATAAAAATAGAAAAGCAGGGGGGCTGGCCCCATGGCATAGTGGTTAAGTTCTATGCGCTCTGCTTTGGCAGCCCAGATTCATGGGTTCAGATCCTGGGCGTGGACCTACACCACTCGTCAGCTGTGCTGTGGTGGTGACCCACATATGAAGTAGAGGAAGATTGGCACAGATGTTAGCTCAGGGAAAATCTTCCTCAGCAGAAGAAAAAAGCAAGGCAAAAACTGGGCCTCGCTGGGTCTCTTAGAAAACTAGCTTTGAGATTAGCATCATATTATCAGAGTAATCTTCAGATTGATGACCATGAAATATTGATTGGTCAAATGATTTGAATAAAATTGACATTTAATTGTTTTTGCATTTAAAAAATAAAAACAGAGAAATATAAAAAGAACTTTTAAAAATAGAAAAATCTCTCATTATCCTTCTACCCCAAATAAGCTCTGTTAACTTTGCACGTTCAGTTTCAACTGTTTGTGATTGTAATCACTCACATCCAGACAGTTTTGAATTCTGACTTTTAAACACTTAATATTGTAAACATTTCCTCATGTTTGTACAGAATGTAGACTTTTAGTGAGTGAACTTCCCAGCGGTCCTGCTGATGTCTTAATTACCTGGTTGTTGCCTGATTTGCTTAGGGAGCATGAGCTGAGATTGGAGACATTTTCTCCCCTGCCTTGGAATTCTTTTAGCTTTTCAAGGAGTAGATAATGACCTCATTGACTTGGCTCTGAAAAATAGACTTTTTTGGTGTGAATTAGGTCAAACTGTTTACATATGTCTTGATTGCTAATGAGAAGGAAAATAACTTGAGAAGGAAAGGCCCACACTTTGGTTGGAATGACACCCTAATTCTTGTTCTGTTGTTTTTATGCAGATATACTTGTTAAATATCTTCCATCAACAGATAAACAGATGAAGAAAAAGATTTCCATTTTAAAGGATCATGACTTTATAGAGTAAGTGTTTTTCTCTCTTGCTCTCAAAATTTTTCCTTCAGGAAATTTTGATGAAAAAATTGAGGGTTAGGGGTTTTTTTTTTTTTTCTTTTTCTGAGGAAGATTTGGCCTGAGCTAACATCTCTGCCAGTCTTCCTCTATTTTGTATGTGGGACACCACTGCAGCATGGCCACTGCCGAGCGCTGTAGGTCTGCGCCTGGGAACCAAACCTGGGCCACTGAAGTGCAGCGTGCCAAACTTAACCACTAGGCCACGGAGCCCACCCCCATGGTTAGGGTTTTTGTAGGTGTGAGAGCCATCCTGACTTGTACCAGTTGACAGGTGTTTATTGAGCACCTACTCTGTACAGTAAATTGTGCTTGATGTTGTGGGGCACACAAGGAGCATAAGATACTTTTCAAGAAACTTATTTGGGGACATAAGATACAAGCTTGAAATGTTAAATTATTGTACCAAAAGAGAGCCCTGCATGTATTGATTGGTGTCCCAGTGTGAGCTTGTCTCTAGCATGTGGTCAGGTGGGATGGCCTTGGGCTCCTACCTGCAGGCCAGGCTGGCCCTCAGTCACTCAGCCACATGGTGCAGGCTCTTGGGGTGGGGGGCAGGGCTAGGTGATTCCACTCCAAATGGGGTAAACAGGGTTCAGGGTTCTCTCTTTCAAACTTTCTTCTGTAGATAAAATTAAGTTTTAAATAATGCAGCGAAGGGTGAGTGCAGTCCAGCTGTCGTGGCTGCCATTTGTTTGACATCCAGGATAGTCCAGATTCTTCATCGTTCGTATCACTGTGACATGTGACACATGCCCTCTTGCTGTGGCCCGTCATCCACGTTCAGCTTCTTACTGAATTAATTGGAAAATAGCTTTTTCTTCTTTTTTTTAAAATATAAAGAATTTTCTGTTACTCAGGCTTTATTCTTAAATATTTGCAGACTTATTTTTCTCTTTTGTCTTTGTGACCAAGATTGCAGGTTACATAATGGTTAGCCCCATTAAAAAAATGTTTGGCTCTTCAACCATTTGCCATGTGTCATGAGGTACTGAAATGATGGATTTGTTGTTATTTGTTTTTCTGCTTTAGAAATTTGACATTTGGATGGGACGGGCCATCCTGGAGGTTACTCACAGCTCTCAAGTTGTTATGTCTGGAAGCTGAAGAGTTGTAAGTTTTATCTGTGTTGGTCATGAGCTGTCATTACAGTCTGGACATGATTTTGTGGGATTTTCAGCTTACGTTCAATACCCAGCCTGAGAGGAGAAGGGAATTCCGTTGTTTGTTGAGGTTGCTTATTCTTTATGTAAGTTGCCTATGTGATGAGTTTTTCACTTCTAAGTTTTCACCATTTCTGGAATTTTGGTTTTAGAGTCATAATCAGAGTACCTGGTCCTGAGAAGTTTTTAGTCTCTACTCAGATATTTCTCCCTGGTGACCTGCAGCTGATTGTTCAGGGTTAACACTTCAAAAAGTGTGGGCATTGGCACTGTTTAGAGGAAAATCTCTGAGTGGGTAGGGTTTTCGTGGGAGCCAGCAGAGCTCCTGAGCAGGGGCCCCACCTGACTCTGCCCTGGGGGCAGATCGAGACCCTTGCTCCAGAAGAGGCCTGGATGTTTCCATGGAGGAGGTAGGCGGAGGAGACCCCAGTGTAGACTCGCATCCTGGTCAGGCTCCTTAATATTTCCTCGAGGCTATGGGTCCTTCCCCCAGCGTGGTAAGAACTGTGCCCTCCCCAGCTCTGGAGCTCCTTCAGTCTGGGTCCTTGTTAAGGAGTCATGGGTAATGCCCACCACTTAGTTTCTCTCACTGAGCCCTTGCTGTGTGTGGAGGACTTCCTGAAGATGGTGACACCCCCCTTGAGCAGTTGCAAGGATTAAATGAGATAATGTCTAGGAATAGCCCTTAACACAGTGCCTAGAAGGAGTTGGTGCTCATTCAGTGATGCTTGTTGTGTTATGGTTTATGGTATTGCTTCCTTCTTTTTCTGTAGGGACTTGGGGAGAAAAATTACTCCCCGATCTCACACCAGAAATAGTTGAGTTTATTCTCAGCAGATGGTTTGTATTATCTTACACTCACTGTGAATTCTGTCGCTATGTTTCTTTTCTTTTTTTACTGTTCACTAGAAAACTTAAGAGGCAAATATGTGGTCCATCCAAATGTGCAGGATTTTAAGGCATACAATTTATCCTGACTGTATCTTATCTTTCTTCTTCTCATCTTCCCTTTGTCTTATTTTCCCCTGTCCATTCATCTTACATTCTGTTTTATCTCATGGGTACCCATGTAAGCTTCCTTAAATCCTTCTTGGAAATCAGTATGAGTCCTTTTCATGCATGTCAACCTCGAATTAAATGAAACAACTGGATGTTTCCCAGAGGTCATCCTCAGGCCTCTTTTCTTCCCTTCGAGTTATTTCCAACTGTCTGGAATGGTGTGGCAGAAAGAGAACGTGGTTGGGATTCTGCCTGACATGTGTTTGCATGCAATTACTGCCTCTCCTAAGCTTTGTCACTTAGAGTGAGTTCTTTATCATTCCCGATTCTCAGTTTCTTTGTGTCTAATGTAGGGATAATAATGCCTTCTTTGCTCGGTAATTGTGAAGCTTAAATTAGATAATGGTTATGTATGAAACACTGTGCCTGGCACATAGTAAGTTCCTTCCTTCCTTGCTTTCTTTCCTGAGAATTTATCTATTCCTGAGGTTTCAACCATCGTCTCTAAAGCTGAAGACTTAAGACTTTATTCCCTTTGTGGCTTGTTGGCTGTTCTGAATTTCTAAGTGACCTATGTGTATGTCCACTCTGATGTTACCTTACCCCTTCCAAGCCACTTCTACTCCCGAATTCTCCGCATCCAGCGTCTGTTCCTCCACCCTCCTCCTCCCTGGTTCCTACTTCTTCCTGGTGTACAGATTTTTCTCTGCCACCTTCTGGCTCTGCATCCTGCTGTGGCTCCCCTTTACCTACCCTGAAACACCTACACTCTTCTGCCTGCAGAAAGTTGGCCCCACCTGCCCACTCAACCCGGTTTCCTCCCAACTTTCATAGTATAAAGTGGGAATGCCCTGCACGTAGAGGAAGGCTTCACGGTAGATTCCTCCTCCCATCTGTAGAGCATTTTACTTTGTGAAATGTGTCCCATTCAGTTTGCCATATTTGAGGAAAGACTGTCCCTTGAAGAGAGGAAGCACTGCCGCCTATGCTCTGTAGTCCCTAGTCCTTGGGGCCATGGACTCCCCTTCCTGTTCTGTCTCCTGCTCTATTCCTGTGGCTGGTGGATGTGACTCACTCACTTACGTGCCGGACACAGGGTTGGGATGATAAAATTCAGTCCCTGCCTGCAAAGAGTGCCAGTCCCCTCGCTTCTTATTTTCAGATGTTCCTTCTTTGTTATGTACCTTGTCTGCTTCAGCACAGGAACTGCATGTGGCGGGAGGTTTGGGGAATCTCCTTATGGAATGAATTTTACTATGATTCTGGAAAAATAGAAAAAAGAGTTTTGTGTTGTGTTGAAGTGTAAAAGCCTTCTTTATTTTTTGAGAGCCTGCTGAAATGATCTTACTCAACGTTTTGGTTCTAGTACGTGCTGGAAAAAAGTACTTCTTGGGGAAATAATTTCAGATACAAATGAGAAGACAAGTTTGGACATAGCCCAGAAGATATGCTGTTATTTCATAGAAGAGACTAATGCTATGCTTCAGAAGGTATGTTTCTAGAATATTGCATCATTTTCTTGAAGAAGTGTTTTGATTAAGAAGTTACTTATTTTGTGCCTGTTGGATAGGGATAGTACACCTTATCAGGGCATTGTTTAATGCTTTACATAGATGAACGTTGATGTAATTTCTGTTTTTTTGACTGTTATTTTTTTATCTACACCTTTTAATAGGTGAAGTTGTTACATGAATTCTTGGTAATAAATTTTTAAGTACTCTTTGTTTTTTATTTTTATGTAGTAAATATTTTAATTAAATGAGAAATCACTCATTTGAGTGAAAATATTGCTGGATTAAAAAATAATTTAAATAAACCTTGAAGGCATTATGCTAAGTGAAGTAAACCGGAATACAAAAAGACAAATATTGTATGATCCCCCTTACATAAGGCATCTTGAATAGGCAAATTCATAGAGACAGAAAGTAGAATAGCGGTTACCAGGGGTTTGGGGAGGGTGAGATGGTAGTTAGTGTTTCATGGATACAGAGTTTCAGTTTGAGATGATGAAAAAGTTTTGGAGATGTGTAGTGGTGATGGTTACATAACATTGTGAGTGGACTTAATGCCACTGAATTATACATTTCAGAGTGGTCAAATGGTAAATTTTATGTTTGTGTATGTTTTGCTACCATAAAAAATCATTTAAAAATAACTTCCAGGTTTCTCGTATGAAAGCTGAAGAAATCGCTTTGATAAACCAGCTTACTTTAGTGGAAACATTGTGGACAGAAGAACTAAAGATTCTCCAGGCATCTGCTGGGATCCTCAACAATTTGCAAACAGCTTTTACATAACTTCACCCAAGAGTGTTTGATCACCTCCTGTGGTGGGTGTGGCTTCTTAAATGTTTTTAAACTTCCTTAAACATTTTTAAACTAAGGTTCTTTTATATAGAATCATTTACAGTCAATGAACAGCTTCTATTAAACAATTGTGTACTTAATCCTTTTCTTTTTGCTTTTCTTTGTGTGTGGGGTGGAGTGGTGGTTGCTCCTAGGACACGGAAGGATATCTCTAGGGGGCAGAGCAGGCTCTGGGATCCCGGAGCTGTGATCGAAGAACAATGTGCCATCCTCATGGTACTTTTAATACTCAAAATAAACAAGAGTTCCTAAGGAAGAAGTCTGAGGAAAGTACTGAACTGTAATGAGAGAGAGAGAGTGCGAGAGCCAGGAGCCAGCCTGGGGCTGTGTGTGATCTTGCACTGGGTGTCTGGCTTCTTATCTGACTCAGCAGCTGTAAAAGGGAAAGTAGTTGTGCTTCTAGATGCTCTGATACCATCTGGTTTAGTGGCATGTTGGTGGTGGGTGGCTTTGGGTGGGGGTTGTTGGGCAGTGCATGGCGGTCCTGGGTCCCACCTGGGCATCACCCCCTAGCCTGAGCTCTGAGCTAGAGAAGTGACTTTGAATTTTTCATCCTCAATTTCCAATCTGAAAATGAGATTGTTGGGCTGGAATGGTGGCTCCCATGTGTTCCATCGCTTTGTACCCTCCTTCCCCTGCCCAGCAGGAGGCCTGAGGAGCCGGTACCTGTGTTAGGCTGAGGCCCCAGGTGATGCTGTCCCTGCCCTTCTCAGCCTCGCTGCGCTCCGAGAACCAGAGAATTGGATAATTGGAGGGACCGTCCAGCGCTGACCGTGCGTGATTTTATGAATGGGGAGTTAATTCATCATTGTTAGGTAGGAAAAATGAGGCGCGTGCCTCAGCAGACCTCCTCTACTGACAGTTTCCAGAGATGTGTTTAAATCTCTTGTCAGCCAGCATCCCTTTACCATTCTCTCTGTGGTGGGTGTTTAACTTTATTTTGCTGCTGTTCTGTCATTTTAACAGAAGAGGAGGTAAATTTTTGGGCTTAGTTGGCCATTTTGAATTGATTCTTTGCCTGCCTTTTTTTTTTTTTTTAAATGATAAAAGCATTTTGGGCTATAGACTTCCCTTTGAGTGTGGTTTTTATATAAAGTGTGCTCTAATTGATACTTTTTAGATCTTGGCTCTGGATTTATACTTTCCAGAGCATATTCTTGCCTGTCAGTGTTCCTGACAATTGTGAGGGAGGCAGAACAGGTACTATCATGTCACACAAGCAAATATGTGCTTATTATAAAAACTGGATCGTTATTGAAACACAAGACATTAGAGTTATCGAATGTTAGTAGTACTATATGTGGGGCACGGTGCTAAAGCCTTTATGTGCATTGTTTCATGGGAGCCTCACCCTTACCCTGTTTTACGAATAGAGAGGTGAAGAAATTGCCCGAGATTCCACTTCTGTCGTGGGGTGGTGTCGGTGTTGCAATCCAATGTACACATCAGGATAGATGCAGAGAGGGCTGATGGCCACTCTGAGTTTATTATGACCAGCGTTTCAATATATGCATAGCTTACAGCTGTTAAACATACACAGGTGTTCTGGATGAAGTAATTAGCGAATGCCAAGAATTCTTGGTGATTTCTCAAGGAGCCCTCCCTTGGCCTCTGTTTTGATATTATCCATGTTTTTGCTGTGCTCGTATATTTTTATCTTGGAGCAGGCAAGGCCTCCTAGGCAACGGCTCCTCCTGTTCCTGATATCGATATCGTGTCTCCATCTGTGCCCCCGGGCGACCGATGCCTGGCTTAGGTTGCCTCCCCCTGGAGGTCTTACCCGTCATTGGCTAACCGGCCTTCTCACCTCCGGGTCACAGTTGGTTGGCAAGCCTTTTCCAGTGACTATTAACCCTTCCTGCGTCAGGGGCGGCTACAGGTGGACCTCGACCTCTACAGGGGACCTCTGTTCAACAGCTGTGGCGTGTCTGTGTCTGGAATTCCTTGGGCTGTCCTGACGTGGGGATGCAGTTCACAGGTCCATGCCAGTCATCTCCCTTTTCAGCTGGCATCAGCACTTGCAGAAAGTAGTGTTTCTTGGTCTTCTGCTCCTACACAAGCATTAGTGAGCTTTGTGGACGTCACTGAAGGTTTTGTTGGGAGACGTTGGAGGCTTGGCGTTGCTCTCCCTGCCACGCAGTTTAAAATCCACGATTAAAAATGGAACGGGAGCCCTGCCAGAGAGCAGCCTTCTTCTCATTTAGCAGGCGTAGGCCAGCTCCTCGTCCTCACTGCAGTCTCCTCCCTTAGGAAGGCAGGAGGTGGGTACAGGCGCCGTTCAGCTTGTCCTAGGAGAGAACAGGGTCTATCAGGAAGCGAGGGGCTTGTCTCTCTGCTCTGTGGACACAGCTGCTTAGCCCTCACGTGTCCTTCCCCGTGTGGACTCATTGAGGTAAGTGTTGGAGGAGACTTCTGGGGACACTTGAGTTCCCAGGAAGAGGGAGTTTCCCCTAAGCATGTTCCTGGCCTCTCACAGCTCAGAGGTGGAGCTTATCTTACTACAGCAGCACCCCCATCCAAGGGGGATACGTTCTAGACCCCCAGTGCATGTCCTGAAACCGCGGGTAGTACTGGACCCTACATATACAATCTTTTTTCCTCTACATACATACCTGTGATGATAACGTTTAATTTATAAACTAGGCACAGTAAGAGATTAACAGCAATAATAATAAAATAGAACAATTATAACAATATAGTGTAATAAAAGTTACCGTAGATCTTAGCAACCTCAGTGTATGATTTTTTTTCTTTCCTTATTAAGTCGAGAACTTTCACCTTTTTACTTAAAGGAAGCACTTTACGACTTCTCTAGCATACCCAAATTGCCAGCATCACTACTCTTGTGCTTTGGAGCCATTATTAAGTAAAATAAAGGTGAGTTGAACACAAGCACTGGGATACCTTGACAGTTATCTGGTGAGTGAGCCTGCTGCTGAGTGACTAGTGGGTGGATGTTGTGTAGAGCGTGGATCCGCTGGACAAAGGGATGATTCGTGTCCTGGGCAGGACAGCCGGAGATTTCCTTGTGCTGCTCAGAACAGCTCGCATTTTAAAATTTATAAATGCCTGCGGTTCCTAACACACCCACCTTGTTGGCATCTGGTTGCTGAGTTTGTGGTGGTAAATCTCCCCCTGGTGCCTTGGCCTCAGGGGACTGATTTGAGGCATTCTTCAAATCTGTCAAGCTAAAAACAGAAGAGGCAGTCCTCAGACGGTGCTTCAAGTGCTTCTGCCTGAAGGTAGAGACTGCTAATGACCTTTTAGGAAATCAGAGCTGTAACTGTGTGAAAAATGGCTTTCACCAAAGCACCTGGGCACCGCCCTTAGAGGGGCCATTGAGCTACAGAAATGGGGAATTTAGCTCAGTTGTTAAACAGCAACTACATTCCGTGTGATGGATTAATGTTGGGCAGTAGGTTTTGTCCTAAAGAGGAACGTATAATAAAACCCATATTGATTTGTTGGCTGACATTTGAATATAGAGCATTTTCAAGAATGCCACCATGTTGGTTCACTTAAAAAGAGCTTTCTTTTACAGATTCAGAAAGTCATGTGTGAATTAAAGGGAACAAGAACATTAGGAGGGAAGAAGTAGGCCTGATGCACTTTTCTCCAGCCCTGCCTGGGCAACACATAGAACACTGCCAGTGCGCCACGTAAAACAGTGCACTTGTACCACATACAACAATGCCAGTGTACCACATACACCAGTGACGTACCACATACAACAGTGCCAGTGTACCACACACACAATTCCAATGTGTGACATACAACAGTGCCGGTGTACCACATAAAACAGTACTGTTGTACCACATACAACAATGCCAGTGTACCACATACAACAGTGCCATTGTACCACATGTAACAATGCCAGTGTAACACATGCAACAGTGCCATTGTACCACATAAAACATTGCTGTTCTACCACATGCAACAATGCCAGTGTACCATACACAAGTGCCATTGTACCACATACAACAGTGCCATTGTACCACATACAACAATGTCTGTACCATACACACAATTCCAGTGTGCAACATCCAACAGTGCCATCTGCTGTCTCCAGTGCTCTTCCCTGTCACCTTTCAGAGGACATTTCTCTATCTTTATCGTTCTGTTGTAACATTTCCTTCCAGGGATGTTTTCTTGTTTAATTTCCTGTTATCCCATGTAGTTTTAACATTAGGCTGTGAGTAATTTTGAAAAACTGCTCACAAATAATATAGTAAAATTTAATAATAAAAAGTTGCCATTTCACATCCACTAGGACAACTATAGTCGAAAAGATAGACAATAAGCATTGTTGAGGATGTGGAGGAATTGGAAGCCTTAGATACTGCTGGTGGGAAAGTAAAATGGTGCAGCTGGTTTCGAAAAGTTTGGCAGCTCCTCAGAAGGTTAAGCATAGAGTTACTTTATGACCCAGCAATTCCCCTCCTAGATACATAGCCAAGAGAATTGAAAATATATGTCCATACAATCATGCATGTTCATAGTGGCATTATTTGTAACAGTCCAAAACCCAAATGTCCTTCAGTGGATGAATGGATAAAAAAATTTGGTCTATCCGTAAGATGGAATATTATTCAGCCATAGAAAGGAATGAACTACTCGTACATGCTACGACATGGATGAACCTTAAAAATATTATGCCAAATGAAAGAAATCAGTCACAAAAGACCACCTATCATTTTATTTATATGAAATGTTCAGAATAGGCAAACCCACAGAGATGGAAAGTAGGTTAGTGATTGCTGTGCGGTGGGGTGGGTGCTGTAGGGCTTGGAAGGTGTCAATGCAAACAATCCACAACCAATCTATAAATCAAAATTGGGGTGAGTTTATTATGCGCCAGATCTGAGGGCTAGCCTGGGGCTTTCCTTCCTTTGGGACCAAAGAAGTGGGGTTTACAGAGTGGTTATATACCATCTTGGACCAAAAGCATACCTCACGTATGATAGGAGTGTCCCTTTTACAACAGTCACGAGATTGCCTAGCTGGCGCAGCACAGCTATTCACGCAGCAGATAGCAGGGCTGCTGTCTTGATGGACACAGCACGTAGCAGGTCTGTTGTCT